ACATCCCAGATAATAGCAACAAGTGTTGGAATGCGGATAAGTCGACAGGACATGGTCGCTTAAATGAGGCAGCTTCCTGGTCTCACGGAAAAATAACCAGGACCAAATGCATTCGGCAAGAAAGATGTTTGTCGGAGCGATTTCACTCAAAGTCGTCGTGATTATAATTAGTGGGTGAAGACCTATTCTGTGTCCTGTAGTTCCGACGGGCAAAAATTCGATCATTACAAAATAAATGGACTAGTCAGGTTTAGCTGGATTAATAAGCAAGGCTTCTACAGATTACCCTGTCACGTTATATGCATCACATCATTTCCATGCGGTCATATATAACTTTTAATGTGTGATTAAGATTAATTGTTTAACAAATTATTCATTTCATTAGAGACTCGCTGGTGGAAAATGTCCTACCACCAACTGTAACCGCGCTTTACATCCGCATTCATCCAAAGACATGGTACGCAACATATCTTTGAGAATTGAAGTTTATAGCTGTTTTTCAGGTATGTTCTAGCAATTCACTGAATACTATTTGTTCACTAAGGAATGAGAAATGACTGAGAGATCCATCTGACTGAAATATATAGCGAAAATTTTTCAATAAGTGGCTTATGTAAGAGCGAGTTTTTGATTTAGAAATAAATTCTTTACACCCTACCAGCGGGTTTGTCAGGTTTTTTACTAACTTAGGTGCATTGGAATACAAGTAAAAATAAGGCGTGTTTTAGAAGTTATACCTGGACGAGGAATCCAGCATATCATTATGAGGAACAAAGCTATTATAGCGGTATATACTCAGGGCTATCACAATCAAGTTTAGTGTTATCGCTTTATTTCAATGTTTGCTGCACGGTCGGATTCTCACAATTAAAAGAAAATCAAGCGAAAAGTTTCACACGTACAAAAGTATAGGTATGGAACTGGGGCCGGTTGTTCGAAAGATGGATAACTTATCCAACGGATAAGTCCTATCCAACGGATAAATCTGGATAGTTATCCATTGGATAAAAACGCGTTGCAGGAAGCGTGGATAGTGAAGTGGATAGCTACCCAATAGATAAGTTAAAATTTACCAGAAGAAAACAGTATTATTCTGAAATTTCGTACCACAACGTCAGCTGTTGCTAAGCATTTACAACATTGAATTCATAATCATTACGAATTCTCGAGTATAGTTACTGAATGGAAAAGATGAACAAGTGATTTCGATCGACTTTGCACTTCACATCATAGTGATTTTATTAATTAAACACATTGCAATTTTATTCCTTGACCTTGCAACGCTTTGCCTTTCGGTCCAATAGCAAATTTAGAAACACTATTTTAATGTTCGTGAATGAATTACTTAGATATTAGCAAGTTTCCTTGGAATAGGTTGAATCTTTCTTTGCATATTCGCGTTTATAAACTGATTAGAAGCGTATAGTAAATTTACCACCTGTTATAAATGCGAGGATGTCCAAAAAATCGCCGGTCGAACGGAATGTGTAGGCAACGTGAAACGCTGCTGCGACAAATTGCACTTCGAAAACATTTTTAATATATAGTGAATACAATCATGATGTGTATTAGTTTGTTGAAACACAGTAAGAGGAATATTGCATTTTTGTCCTATTTTATATAAATGTTTACAGTGTTACCTTGTATCTTTGAATTTATCCACTGGATAGTGGATTTAAACCACCTCCGGACCTTGGATAAATTTATCCGGTAGATAGCGATTTTTATCCTTTGGATAAAGTTATACAAGCTTCGTGCAACACAAATCACACGCTGGATAAAACTTATCCGTTGGATAGTGAGTTATCCGTTGGATAGCGACTTATCCACCTTTCGAACAACCGGCCCCTGTTCTTTTATTTATCGGAATAACTAGTGATGTGATCTTACATGAAGCATTTTCAGTCATGCTGCTAAATTGTCGTGCTGGCTACGCCACTGAGTATTTTATTTGCTCGCAGAGCCTGGTCTGCTGAACGTGACCGTCGGCCAGTCTTCACCATGTACGGTGACAGTTATTTTCTGCCTTTTAACTTGCCGACATGCAATGTTTCATTGCACGGTGAGTTTTCAACTTTACTGAAGGCGCTACTATACAATATGCAATTTTCCTTACAACTTGCAATGCAATTATAACTCCGAAGGATGTTAATTTGTAAAGAGTGTTCGAAATACTAAGGAAACGTTAGCAGATCGTAATAGATGTTCGTATTTGACAACTTTAGATGCCTCAGGAGTAGAATGGTTTTGCAATTTGCAAGGAAAGTTGCGTAGTGTAACAGCGCCTTGAGATTGTTTCGGAAAGCTGGTTAAATTTCGATGTAACTTGCAAACATGTAATGTTTCATTGCAATTGCGAGTTGAAAATAAGGGTCATTGGACGGAAGAACGGGACAAGTATCGTAGTTTTCAACATACCTTTTATAAGGGCGGAGACATTGATCTTCCATCCTCGGTCGGTTTTATCATTTTTTCTGCTTATCATCCTACAAAAGACAAAAACCTTGTTAAATCGTGGATCAATCTAACACTTTTAAAAGCTTTCTCTCCTAACTGAACTAATTTTATTTATACGGTATAGTTCTATCAGTTCTAAATTGTCCTTCATGGAGGTCCAGTAGGGGTCATCCCGTATTGATCCAGTGTTACTACAGGAGGAAACCTGAACTAAACTGACTTTATTTATGCTGGATAGCTGTATCAGTTCTAAACTTCAACCAAACTAATTCTAACAATTCGAAAAAGCTGGGACTTCAGACGAAAAAGGTCAGCCGATTTTGAAAAATCTTAGATGCGGGGTGTTATAAGGCGGTTAGTAATTTCATCATCACCTTCATCCAAGGATGTTCCAGAGCTTCTGAAACCGTGATGCATTTTCTGTGACCAACAGTAAGCAGTTTTGTTATAAGATCCTTAGCTTCACTGCTAACATTCTTCCAGAGGTTGTTCGGAAATTTATACGACCCTTCTTTGACTTGTTTCTCCAATGGGTTATTTGCCTGCTTTGAAAATAAAGAAGATCCGGAAAGTCTAAAAGACGTTAACTTTTCATTGACGTACTCCAATTTTGAAATGAGGTTAACCTACCTCCAGCTTCATTACAAATCGTCTTCACTACGTGAATTTGAGTAAACTGAAGTATATGGCATACCAAACATATAACACACGATTTCTTGTAGGATCGTTCTTCAGGCTACGGGATTAACATTTTGGTAGCGAGGTAACTTGGTGTACCACAGATTGTTTCCATATAGGAATTCGGATCTAAAAAATTAATTGTTATCATTGAGAAATGTAACAATGAGAAATAACTGAACCTAAAACGTTTGCAGAATGCGCTCTGCTTTCGTAAAACGAAATCACGGACAAAACTCGGAATTGAGATTATAGTGACTTCCAGGATTTGCTGGCAATGGTCACATCGAATGGTTTCTTCAAATACAATTTAAAGGGCAATTTAAACACAAGTTCAATACACAACCGACACAAACCTTTATAAGCGTTTCGTCATACGAGGAACACAATAAAACATTTTCTGGCTAGAGAAGAAAAAGTTAAATTATGGTCGTTAAAGTTTAGGATATAAAGACAGTAGTGATAGATAAATTAGGGCGTGCTTACCTTCCAATCCCTGTTAGTGATGCCATTTTCATGTAAATGCTAAAAATACGAAACAGTATGAATAAAGTTAGTTTAGTTCAGGCTCCTGCAGTAACACTGGATCAATAACAGATGATCCTTAGCTTGGTGTCATTAAAAGCTCCAATCTCTTCGTGATATTTTCCATAAACTTTAGTCATCGCCTGTGAATGAAATATTCCAATTTGTTTAATTCATTCTTCGAAGGCTACACATGGCTACATTCGCGCTAAACGACATCCTCACCTGAAGGCACATTGCTTTCATAGTTGGTTTAGTTGTCAATAGGAATCAGTGATACAGATCGTTAGACAACTCGAGCCTGAAAACAAAATAGAAAAGTCGATCGAATCTTGAATGGTTTCATCCATGATTCTATACTTCTCTACTACATTCTGCAGGACAAATAACATTGCGTGAACTGTGCAGCAATATAGAGAATAGGGGGAAGCCAGACAGAAAAGCACATGGAAAGTAGTTTGAATATTTGCAAACCCTGATAGATAAATGTCGTGGACTCACACATTTGTTTTCGGCGTCTCCTCGTCGTTTTGTTCCAACAAGACTCTCAAATAATAGTCACCTGATAGCAGAGATACGTTACTGAGTTTGTTAAACTGTTAAAAAGCTAGAGCAGTTAGGCTTATCACTAACCTATTTCAGTTCATCAGCTAAACATTCATACAGGACTTCAAACTAAAGGTGATTCCAAAAGACAACGTAGTTTCCACTCAGATCTTTTTCCATTGCAAATGCGTGCAAATCAGATTCGAGTGCCCCAGAAGTTCCTCTCGCGTCTGTCACATTGAAAACATAAGAAATTGTTTGATACTCTTTTACGAGAACAGTTTAGAGAAAGAGGTCAGGACTATTGAATTTGTCTTGTTATACTCATAGCGACAGGAAATCCTCCATTACATTTCCATTTCCTATATTTTCAACGGAAACTAACCTTAACTTCGAGACTCACCTTGTAATTCCAAATCAGGTTGTACGCTGTCAGATCTTGACTGAATCTGTAAAAAAGATCCGCTTAAATATCATTGCTTTTTCATCTTTCAAACGACTAGAACATTTTCCCATTTTCTTAATATGAACACTTACTTTTAATAAAAAAACTGGATTTAAATTCTCACATTTTTCCTGGATTTGAATCCTATTTTTGTCCTCCAATGCGAGAGATATCCTTCAAGTTGATTCCTCAACGTTCCCCTCGTTTTTCCAGAGCTCTAAGACACAAGTATAGCACGTGAAATAACAGGCTTATACGTACATGCAAGCATGCATTATGAAATTTTGGAACACGATTGTTGATTTAAAACGTACTTCTGCAAGCTTTACATTGTCACGAATTGATAAACGATCTTCTTCAGTCTCTGGTGGCTGAAGGAAAGATAAAAACTTTCCAACAAAATTGTTTCTTTACAAAAAGGTTTTACACTTCTGAATGAATTACCATTTAATTATTTCCTCAGTGGGGCAGTTGGCACAGTTTAAGGATGAATGATGGAGTTTAGTTACCAAAGCAGTTGATACCACTTAGTCATGAACACGATTGGTTAGTCAGAATCACCTCAATGGGTTTATGTAAATAATGGCCCTCGCAAAAAAGTTTTCAAAGATTTCTCACTTCGTCAGGGCTTTCAAGGTAATAGAGCAAACCAGCAGGCTGTAAAAATCGTATTCAAATTTATTACATAATTGTTTATGAACCAAAAATTATGAACAGGAAATCTCGCATTTAAACTTTCTTGCACGCTTGGATATTTTGTTCGAAAAACGCCCGTAGAAAGTGTGGCAATTTGTTTTTGACCGCGCGTGAGTTTTTGGGGTGCTGGGAGCGAAAATAGTTTTCGAAAAATGCGTCAAATTGCGCGAGAGATAGATATTTGTGGATATTCTTGATCATAAATATAAATAGCTGGATAGATAGGGACATTCAGGAGCTTCAATTGATATATATTGCCATGGAAACTGAAGCTGTTTACACCAAGCTTCGCTTCTTGCGCAGGGCTTTTGGTCGAAATGTCGCTGTTCGTTGGAAATTGCAAAAATACTCAAACTTCAGCTAGTATAGGAATCCCATCGAAAGGCTTTCAGCTGTTAGATTGAGTGTTTTTTTAAAGTTTTATGTTTTACTTAAATTCGATGTTTTTGTGTTTTTTCATAACGGCATCTTAAACCGCAAAATCATGCTATATTCGAAGGCGCCTGCTTACAAAAGGTTTTAAAGCCGGCGAATACATGAGGCAAAAACGTCTGGGGTCATTGGCAGTTGAAGGGAAAAACAAAAACTAAAAAACACCAAAATGAAGTTAAAGAGGCTGGATGATAGGGTAAAAATAATTTCAGTAGCTTATATCTTCGCTTTCTTTTAAAAAGATATTTCGGCTTTAATAGTCGGAATTTGTATTTTCAGCCTTTATACCTATGGTTGTTGTAGTAAATATCTGAGAAAACATTGTCTGTTAAGCTCTAAGTATACCGCTTGAGATGAAATACATGTATTTTTTTACCTTTCGATCTGGAGAAGTGAAGCTGTCTGGCTCTAGTTTTATAAAAGCTCATGTTTATTGTGTTAAGAGGTGTTCATGCCTATTATTTATCTTCACTACTACACTTTGAATCAAGTCTAGGATACTAGATAAGATTTATGCATATGAATTATATTCAAAGAAAAGCCTGGAGCAGGGAGCATTCAACTGGCATGGTAAATTACTAAAGAAATAAACTGAAATCCAGAAAAGTAAAATATATGTTTTACTCTTTAAAAGCACATATATAGTACATACTGATTAAAAAGCTATGTGGTCAAAACACATCAATGTTACTATGTAATGCAGGCCTGACTTGGTCCTTACTACAAATGAAATTTAAGGACAATCAAATAGGTAGATTATCATGTTGAGTAATACCTGATAAACTGAGTTTCTTGGGTGTTCAGAAGAAGATTGAAACCACCCAATTTAGCAAACTAAATATTTCAACAATTTTTACAACTGTTGAAATTACAAAATTTGCATCATTCCAAAACCTTAGCCAATGTAAAATAATTAGATCATGATGCATACTGTAGCTTAATATTATTGGTATTTCCTATGTGGCTAATGATGATAAATATTGAGAGCAAAATGTAAATTCAGCAATCCTAAACATGTTCATATAGTACAAGTTATTCTCTGCAAATGTTTATGCTCACCTCTTTCTATATACTAAGATTGCATGTGGCCATTGCTGCTGTTAATTAGTAATATTTACAGCACATACATTAATATAATTAACTGTAAAAATTGTTAACAACACAAGTATTGAGTTAATTACTACAAAATGTAAAAGTAAAAACTCATGTGGCAACATCAAATATGTTTGTTTTGCAATACAATTTTGCTATTGCAAGTGAAAGATATGACTGAATAATGATAGTACTCTCCCTGGTAGTGGTATTGCTTAATAAATGGCAATTTTTTGTAAAAGTTGGTATATTAATATGCCAGACTCAGCCTGCTGCCAGGAAACAAACAAATCAGGGTCCATGCAGTTTAACAGATAGTATGCAATGCTGTTAATGAACTTTGTATGACACTCCTGATATGCAATTTTGCTTGCCAAACAGTTTTCCTTAACACATGCTAGGTTTTGTATGTAACAGGAGACATTTGCATTGCTGGAAGCCTAGAAATTCCCTCTTTGGAGATAATGGAAGATATTCCCTACAATTAAGCCAATTATTGTTTTGACTGAGAAATCAATGGTGATGAAATCAATGCCCTTATCAATTAACATTATCTGATGTGGCAGAAGCCACATGAATAGACCCTTCCAAGTTTAGAGGTACCACCTTTTAGGGCATGCAAAGCCAATAGAAAATTCAATAGGGACATAAGTGACTGATAGTTACTCTGCCATGACAAGTATCAATCATGCCAGTCACCATTGAGCTTTCTATTGTGTTTGCACCTCCTGCAAGATGGCATTTCTAACCTTGGAAGGGATCATGTGGCCAGATATTAAGATATGCATTCACATTGTCAAACAACCTAGGTACATGCATTACTCTCAGGGTATCATTCAAGTTAAATATTAAAATGCATTCAGTTTGAAGTATCCCTACCTGCAAAATTGCAGCATATATGCTATTGTGATTGCTATTAACTGTACATAATTTTCTTGGGGAATATACAATGTAAATTTTATATAAAATTGTATGATATTCGCCATTAATTGTTAACACTATACAAGGTTCACAATTAGCATAATATGTGTTACGAATAGCCACTTCCTCCTGCGTATACCCTGAGAGCAATGCTAGTAATTCCATCACCAAACGCAGATTAGTTAAATATATTACTTCGCCTTTCGTAATGCTTCCGAAATAACAAAACTGTTCGCAAAACACGGGCATTGATTTTACCATTTTTCTAAAAACAACAAATAGCTCGTATGGAATATCTGGCGAAATCTCCGAAGTGAAAGGATTCCTCGCATTCCGTCTGCTGCATAGCCTGCGTCGTATTGCTGCCAGCCACAATCTAGACACATGCTGAAAAACCACGGCTGAATTTATGGAAGACCTAGCAAGAATCTTTGCTGGGCCAAAAAGGTTACTATCGCGACTACCCGCCGTACGGCAAAGCTCCACTATCGGCCGAATTACTCTGGCCCCTTCCTCTAAAAGGTCACGGTCAGAGCACTGCAGCAATCGAGACAAGCACTCTTTAATATTCTCGCTAATACTTTCAACTTTTTGTTGACACTTGTCTCCTAAAACAACTTGGTTTACAACTTGTTCAGCAGAAAATTTTGTATTTGCCGCCGCCATTTTGTAAACACAAATGGGGAAGACCGCAGAACAAACTCACTTTGTTGCATAATTTCATTTGAAATACCGCAGGACAGTAGGAATGGCGAAATGGACGTTTCTCGGGAAAAAATGCCAAGCGTGTTGTATATTTTAGACATTAAAAACTATAACTACTTTAATACGAACATTATTCTCGCAAGTAATGCCATTGCTGTTGGATGATGCTATGCCAACAATAATGATTATAAATTACTTATGGAGTATGCTTGTTAGTCTCAATTGAACTATTTACAGATGGCTAGTATATAGAGGATTATAAAATCACAAGTTTTAAGATGAATCTGAGAATGTTGCTAAAATACAACTCAGGTCCTGCGGATGGAATAGAGGCTATACCTCTGCAACAATTTGTTAATTTATCACACTAATTCGCACCTGTTCAATAGCGAACGTCTATCAGTGCTTTGCGTAAACATGGCCATGCGTAAGCGTTTTGGCAGAGCGCCCTCGGCAAGCGCCAGAACTTGTATTTTTGCCGCGGTTTCTTCATCAGCTTCCTAAAGTGAAGTTCTAACTAAATATTAACAGATGATTTTAGGCACTTCACACGATGCCGGAATATTCTTGAGGTTTTAAAGGGTCTTAATTTCGAGTGGTATTATACGCACTTCAAATTCAAGCAGGGAACAGTTGATGGAAAAATGAGTCAACTGTACGTCCTCAGTGACAAGAGCATTGCACCGGCATCGCAAAAGCGTAGGTTCGATTCCTGCCGGAGGATCTATAGTTCACTCATTTTTCCGTCATCTGTTCCTGGCTTGATTTGAAGTGTGTATAATACCTCTCAAAATTAAGACCCTTTAAAACCTCTTAAATATCAACTGAACTAATATGTACATTCATCACGGCTAAAAAAATGCAGAGCGTTATAAATGACGTTCGTCAAAGGCAGAAAATTCTCAATGGATGAATGAATGAATAAAACGTACCTCGATTATCGCCTTCAGAACCATGCCAGCACCTTTCACAATTGTTGTCGACGGATGCTGAAATTGTTGAGGAACGAATTCAAAACCACGATTGGTAAGAACCATTAGCGGGGCAATAGTAAAACATACATAAGCGAAGAAATGGTAAAATTGGTACTATTATTTAGTTTTGTCGTAAACCTACCTGGAACAATCGATAAATGCAATGACCCATTTCTAGACAAACAAATAACAGACTTCATGAGTTGCTCCTATGCATGGGTCAAGCTAGTGGACGTGGTAAACTTCACCAAAAAGGTAAAGAGAGAAAGGCTATTTAATCAACTCTCAACCTCAGTCAAAGAGCCATAAACTACCAAGAAGACAAGTTGAATGAAAAGCTCCTCAAATTTCTTTGTAGCATACCTGCAACTTTCTCCAGTAATTTCCAAACTGTTCATCATCTGTTGTCTCACTAAGAGGAATATGCAATAGTCTATTTATTGTAACAGACTACATGAGTTGATTCAAAATATTGGAAGCAATCACACCTTACTATTAGTTTAACATGAATGTCCAACTTCACCCCCGTATTATTTTAATATATTGCAAAGCAACTAGAACAAACCTGTAAGGAGGACACAGAGCAAACGTCAGAAAATCAAGCAATCCACTTATAACTAAAACCCCAGTAGAACGAATATAGAAGAAAAGTTTTCATGGTTAATCTATTTCTTGTGTTTAGTTAGAAAGGTAGTTCAAATTAGAAAGGCAGTTCTTACGAATGACTTGCTGGGTTTTGCAAGGGAATTTCTCTTCCAAAACAAAGCTATATACATACAAGAGGGATGGAAAGATAAAATGCAAGGGTTCAGCATAGATTATAGGCAACCAACACCGCACATCTTACCACATTTATCGTGAGAATATCCAACAAACTGCTTAGAAATTTTTCAGAGGATAACAAAAGCTTTTGTTTATCTGTTCTTGTCGAATGTCATAGTTATCGTGCGTTGGCTATATAAAAAAACAGAATTGGTTTCGATAAAATTGGATCCTGTTAACATTCAGATTTCAAAGTTGGCTGAGTTTATGTGGATTGCAAGTTAAAGGGGTAACACTAATGATAGTGACAGATTTGGCAACATATTACCAGGAAATTCATCGTTAAAGTGTTGGCGCTTTCCTTTATACGGAAAAAACGGCCAGACCGGTCCTATTGTTGATCTCGGTACAGACAGATTACTGGTATTTTAGAGTGTTTCAAGAACTCTGCGTTCAAGTATATCGTTACTTGCATCTGTCTAGCTCGGAAATTTCGCAACTATATTCTTAACGAAATACTCTATTTTAAATTTAAATATGACCGGTCTGACCATTTTGGCCGCTTAAAGGAAAGCCCTCTCTTTACCTGCATCAGAGCACACAGCATGTCGACAGCGGCGTGAGTCACGGCTTCATTATTCCTCTTCAAAGCTTTCACAGTTTTCACACCAACCTTCTCATAGAAGCTGTAAAAACAAAACAGAAACACGGTCTAGAGAAAGTGAGCTGGTTGAGTAAACAGCGTGTGTTGTGGTTAAAGATAAACGTTTCTCACCTAGTGAGCGTTGTGAAACCTGCTTTGGATCCAACCTAATGTCTCAAAGCGTGAAACAGTGCTTCGAGATCTTTATCTGATATTTTGTTTTGGTCTCCTGCAAATAGACGAAACATTTTAACTATTTTTTGTACATATTGAACACCTGTGAAGGTAATAGCAGTCAGAATATGTATATTTTAGGGGTGAACACTAAATATATTTATTGGCAAAGATATACAATACCTTCGTGAGCAATGAGCATTGTGATGGCATTAATGATAAATCTTTCTTTATTCTCCGGGAAAAGTCCTTACAAAATATTTAAAATCGTTTGAAATATATATTGGAGTTTAAAAGACTTAATATTCCAGCCGTACTTCTGGCGAGAAAATTTCAAATCTACCATTTCATGGATTCGGACCCAGTCAACTCAGCAACCAGAGTTACCGCATTGTAGTCCCTAAGCCTCTTAACGTTCCTTATACGCGGCGAGGCGGGAACTGAGAGGCCTAGAACAAAATGTTTTGTATTTTGGCTATTTTGTCCCCACTTTCTGTATTGAGGTCAGTTTACGATCCACGACGCGGTTAACTGGCCTTGTTCGACGTCGCTAGTCAAATATTTGCTTGAAATAACCTGCGGGATATTAATTATACTGTCAGGACTTCGAAATATCCATACAAACGTTTCAATGTCATTTGCTGTCGACGCTATCGACTATCAAGTAAACTCGAGTCCGTACGTACATGGTTATGATTATAATAAGCTTCAATCTGCCAATTTAAATTATTCTCGCTTCCTTTATAACGATTATTGTTGTAAATCTAGGTCAACTAATGCATACTAAAATATGCAGAAAACTAACGTGCGTATGAAAAACACGTGAGTGGAAAACAGCCTTAATCCAGATTTTGACAGAACATTAAAACTCAGTAAAAATGCAATAATATTCTCTACACAGGATTTTGTCTGCAGAAAAGTACAAAATAAGAAATTGTCAACTTACGTCTTGGGTGACTGCATGAAGTAGACCGCTGTAGGAAATATTGCAGTTAAATCTCTACACATCTTCGGTTAAATTTCCTGCAAGGAACCAGTAATAAGACAATATAAGCTTTTAGAGATATTTCAAAAATTTAAAGTGAAATAAAAAGAGAAATATTTCACCTGGAGACGCAGCGAGGAATTTTAAATGACTGCTTTCTACTTCTTCGTCAACAACGTTATACAATGGACCCCAACGATAACCTTGAAAAATATATCATCTTAAAAAAACAATTCTTCTTTTGCTGTATGTGATGTATTGGACTGACTAATAGGAATACCTGACGAGAAGTGTAATTGTTTGTGTGTTATATGTGATCCCATACGTCAGGAGGAGAATGAAATGAGGGTTCGTATTTACGGCAATCATAGCAGTGCGAGATTTTCATCAGGAAAATTTTGACCATAATTTTCGCTCAATCATCTATGAAAAAGCGTACAGTCTCTTCGTTGGGGTCGTTTTTACACAAACATCTCCATTTCCACTGCCTCTAACCCCGTGTAGCTAACCAGCCAATGATATATCCCTAGATTGGGTGAAATACAAACATTCAGAACAAGAAATATTTTATATAGCTTCATACAAAATCTGCTTTTTTAAACTACCTGTCGGAAGACGAGTAATTTCTCAGCTGACCGCTTGTGTATTCCAGCCCGAACAACTGAGGATGGTCTCGATAGCTAATTATTGAAAATATCTGACAGAAAAAGAAGTTTTAAAACTATGATATACTATAATACACAAGTCTTAACCAAACGGTATATTCTGGAAAGTAACTGCAAAAATAAAACTATTTTAAGTCGGCTGGATACTTTTTTGCAATTGGACATGTTCAAAATGGAACGTGAAATAAAAAAGATGATAAAAGCAGTAAACTTGAATCCAGGTCAGAAGACATGGAGTGTTTGGAGTGTTTGGAGTGTTGGAGTGTTTGGAGTGTTTGGAGTGTTTGGATGTTTGTTTTTTTTTTTCTTTCAAGGTCTGAGATGAACAATTACTGGAACTGACATGGAATGTCGCATGACTTACTGAGCTAAGGGGATGAAGGCTGACGATGTTGAACATATATTATAGCAATAATAGTTTATAGTTTATTATATATTATAGTAATAGAGTTGATGTTCGCGGGCATAAATGTGTTTTTGGCCCTCCTCGCGGAACACATTTTAACCCTCGCTACGCTCGGGCTAAAATGAGTTCGAAGTCGGGCCAAAAACACATTTATGACCGCGAACATCAACCCTATTGTTACATTATTATCACTATAAAAAACACATGAGTATATACAAAATTAGTAAAATACAATAATTAGTAAATACAATAATTAGTAAATACAAAATTAGTAAAATACAATAATTAGTAAATAGATTTGAATAAATATAGTTCACCTGGTGCAAGGCACTTTTTAATGATAACTCCAAGCTTATACTTTCTGGATAATTTAATACATTCTATAGGGTTTAATGATCAATATAGGGATAAGTATCATAAAATTGTTTGGCTGTTGGGGTGTATAAACTATCAAAACTACAAAATTATATCCTGTCAAAATTTCGAATTTCTAAAATAATGCCGGGTTTATGGTCATTTGAATTTGCTTGCTACTTTTATAATATGCAAAAAAGTAGACGGTAGACACTGATTTTAAGTTCAAATTTATAATATTTCGAAAATATATTATGCATTATTAATTATATAACATACCTTGAATAAATTTGAAGTTTTACATGATTCAAGAACATTTTCATTTGTATACCGAACTGTTTCGCCTTTGGATTTGATTCCGTTCATTAGTCAAAGTACACTTCAAGATGTCGGGCTTCCCTTCAAAATTGTCGAGGCCAGGGATATGACGGTGCTAGTGCTGTGTCCAGCCAGGTAAAAGGTATTTCTGGGAGAATATTAGAGAAAAACCCGAAGGCGTTGCATGTTCATTACTCCAGTCATCGTTTAAACCTTATTGTTGCCAAAGCGTGTTCAATTCTTCCAGTGAAAAATATGTTGAGTCAGGCACAAAATATCGCCAGCTTTTTTATCAGTTTCCCTATCCGCTCACAGTATCTAAGTAAAAAGATGAAAGAGTTTGGTTTAACCCGTAACAAGCTCGCAAAGCCTTCCACGACACGATGGGTAGAACGAATAAGATCCCGCGATGGTTGTTTGGATGCATTCAAAGTTATCTACAAAACACTCAATTTTATGCAGTTTGGAGGATCGCAGGAAGGGCCATTTCCTAGATTAGCTAGTGACGCACAGTCTCATTTTCGCAACGTGGAGAAATTTGAATTTATGGCTGCTCTCATTATCACCCAACATGTTCTGGATCATACTTTGTCATTGACGGTCCAATTAAAGAAGAAAAAAAATCGATATTGCGGAATCAATAAAACAGATTAATCTTTTAAAGGATGAAATGGCAAAACTACGTGCCTCTGTAGATTTATTCCACAATGAATACTACGACAAGCTGTTGGAATTAGCTAATAACCTCGACGTGGCTGAGTGTTTTCCCCGGGTATGTAAAGCTCAAACAAAATGTGATAATCATCGTACCAGTACAGCAGGTGGTTACAACAGATTAACAGTAACCATTAAGAGTCGTGCATAGGCCACGTGATAACGAAACATTCTGAGCTCATCAATGAACAATTGTAAAGGTTTTATTGTAACTCATAAGGAAACCTAAGGATATATTTTGTAAAATCTATTATATTACGAGTGTCTTTCCCTAAGTCTACCGACCCCTGAATTCCCCACGCTATCGTCACCCTGTAATAAATAAGTAACGTTGCAAGTCCTCACCTTCAACCACAAGGATTAAATTACGTAATTCGAAGTGCAAAATTGAGATTACCGGTTTCTGAGTTTACCGGTTTATAATGCTCAGTATTTAATAATCCGTATAAGACCAATTTATCATTATTATTACTTGACTTACGGATTCATTAAGTTTATCCTCGTCTTAACTCAAAAAAGTTTTCAAAGGACTTGCATCCAGAAGGGATTTACCAGGAACAGGCTAAAATTAAACAGATGTTGAGATTAATGCACGATGATGATTCGTGATCTTAAAATTGCTACCTTTTGAAACTCTTCACGAGTTAATAAGCCTTGACTGTTCCCTGTGAAAGAAAAATAGGTAAATATAGTCATATTATAATATATATTTCCTCCATATTGCAAAGGTAATTTCGCTTGCCTTCAGTTTCTTCCTTGTGTAAAACAGTGTCTTTGGAATCTGGTACGACATCAATCTGAAACGATTGTAAAATGAAAAAGCTAGTCTAAATCAAAGATCTCTTTCTTTTCTGCTTCCCCTGCCAGTCATGTTAGTAGCAATATAAGGGATGGATAGTGAATGTTCTTGCACGAAGTAAATTTCATGCAAAGCGAGTTTGAAGAGAAATTCTTACCATAAAAGCGCTTGGTCCATATCTCGGACTACGACTCAAATATCGAGTTCGTTGAAGAAATGCCGAACCAAGATTCAACTTTTGCCCGGAATCTTGTAATAAAATCGACGAGGGTGAAGATCTGCCGTGTTCTGTAAGCAGCATCTTTTGTTCTGCGCTGTCTAAAATGTTGGCAGATAATTTGTTCATTTCGTAAATGCGCGAACAATGGCCGATCTGTTTTAACATTACAAACCTGACTCCTTGAGTTCGGTTTTCTTCATTTCAACATCATCCCGGGTATCTTCAATATTAGTTTCCTCATCTTCTCTACACGATGCGAGGCGATCTTTGACAAGATCTACAATCAATGTACGCTGTCTGTGCTCTTGCTAAGAAGTTCTGTTGTAGTTTCAAGGCGTTGTCTGGCTCCTTCTTTAATGAGTTCGGCCGATAAATCATCTGAAATACAACAATATCAATTTGACATTCCGCCAACGGAATGCAACCAAAACATTGAACAGGTTTACCCATCGTTGACCTTACCAAAGAGTTGTTTTGGAATTAAACTTTCATAAATCTCAGTCTTTCCCACCGCTGGTCGTCACAAGATGTTTGAGTCACAAGATTTCTGTATTGAGCCTACGTCACCAGTGGGCTTTAAATCGCGGGTAAGAAGGTCAGATGCTTTGGTATCGAATTTTGTCTTTGGCACCTGGCTAGAATCATCTGCACGAGTTTTTCTATCAGTTGAAGTAGCCTGGAAATGACAAATACGTTCCTAAGAGCTTTCACTAGAAGAATATTAAAACTTGGTCGCTCTTGCAAATATATTTATTGAAAATTCAGCAAGCAATCCCCCTGGCAATAGAATGACATGTGGACTTACTTTCGTAATAAATGGCACGAATTGTTTTCTTAACAATAGCGGACAGTTGACAAACCAGGATGAAATGACATTATCAGCAAGAGCTACAGTGTATTGAGAGTATCTAAGGTGAAACATATCAGTTCGTTTATATTTTAATCATTTTGACAAAACCAATAATAAAAAGTTTCAGATGTTATCGCGTTGAGCCAACTTCGATGATTCTGTGTAAGGCAAACATATTCCAAAGACTTGTTTCAACTGGATCGCTGTGAAGTTTTTGTACAAAGCACAAAGCTGTTACAATGCGATTTAAACGATTTAAAAGAATGTTACCAACTTTTCGCCGAATACGATTGTGTGTTTACACAACCTAGCTCTCTTTAGGGGGTACATTGATATTTTGTAACAGATTTCATAATTTACGTAACTTCAAGAAACATACCAGAGGGAAATTCTAGCAGTGGTATGGCAACTTGAGACGTTGGCGAAAGTTTAGTAAACTTTTCCAGATATTGTGGGAGCAGTCTAAGGACAGAAAATTTAGTAATTATTACTTAAAAAATCATATATTTGTGAAGGAGTATCTCGCATCACAAGAGACGTTACGTTTAGGCTGAAGTTTATTGAAAAACGTTTCTGTAAATTCACTGAGCACATTATCAAGGCACGATTTCAAATATCTGCAAAGAAATAAACTTCTAAAACGCTGCAACTACTTAAATCAACTTCATTCTTACAAAGTGCTAATGGACATAAAAAACGTCTCAAATTCCAGACTATTTTAAGTAGCCATACCTTGCCATAACTGAAGGCATTTCTAACATACATATGGTGAGACAAGATACGCTTAACGTCGCGAAATGAGCAACCAAGTACGCATTAGACAACACTAGACGAAATATACAACAACGTTTAAGCAAGAACAGACAACCGCTGAAAATAAAGTCACGCAGATTCTTACCTGTTCATCTTGACCAATAAAAATGTGGTACGTACACAGCTCCGTTAATACCTGCACGTGTTACAATAAAATATCCAATTAAATCATTAGTATGGTATGATATAATTATGGTATAAATTGGTTATGGTATGGTGGGATATAATTAAGGTATGATATGCATGGTTATGGTATGGTATGATTTCGTTATGGTATGGTATGGTGTGATATTATTATGGTAAGATATGGTTATCGTATGGTATGATTTAGTTATGGTTAGTTATGGTATGATATGATTATATGATATGATTATATGATATGATTTATGATATGATATTAAGATATGATTATATGATATGGTATGGTTATGGTATGGTATGGTTTTGGTATAATTATGGTAAGATATTATGATATATGCAAAAAACTGATTGATAAGAACCGTACTGGAAAAATTCTAGCGTACAAATGAGGTCGGCGCATATCGTTAGGAACACGAAATAATCCAGGAAGAAAATCGTAATTTGAAACCTGAATGCAAAGTAAAATTTTTAGTTCATGATTTTGGTGTGAAAAGTACACAACTTCACTTCCCTTCCCATTTTAGAGAAGACTGTAGATATTGAACGTAAATATTGCTCTCCAGAAAGTATCAAGTTTTTATCTTGCAGTGCCTCTGGAAAGTTCCTCAGAAGAACATCCAGCACCTCCCATTCCAATTCCTAGAAAATGAAGAAAGTTGAACTTCAATCGAAACTTAATGCCAGATGATATATTATGATAGAAAAGTTTACCTGTTGTAAGCACACAAGAATAACATTCATCGCCTCGCTGTAAGGCAGTGAAACAGTCCCGTTTGTCTTATCTTCTGCAGAACTAAAACAAAAATGAGAATGTATTACGCAAACAAGAAAAGGAATTTTGGAAGCAGATACCTGACATACGTGGCACTATCGTCATTAACCAACATTTTCTTTCAGAACAAACAAAATACGAAGTGAATTAAACTTTTCTACTTTTGTCTTGCACAAGGCCTAGACGTTGTCAGCTCGGAGACTGAGGAAACATTGAAGAATCTTTAAGAAAACACAATGTGAGACATCATAGAAAAATCGCGAGAAATAAAATTGAATTTGCCTTACCGAAAGCCGTATTTCCGATGCACTATACGTCCGATAGCCATTGTCATAATGAGTTTTTATGTGGTACACTAATATATTGAATATTCGTTCGGCTCGTTCTTGAGGTTTACGAAACAATTTCATCTGCAAAAATAGAATGAAATTACTGAAAGAGAAGCAAGTGTGGCATTAAATTACACTTATTTTTGTTCACGAAAATAACTTCATCACAATGAACGAATATGTGTGGACAATCTCTGCATGTCCTTCATTACCTTGAACAAGCGTACTAATCCTAATACAGCCTCCTTGATGTCTTTCTATGCTGTTTCATCCTGAGGCTGCAGCAACAAAGACAAATTACAGTGATTAGATGTAATTTTATGTCTCTAGATGTTCCTACATATACCTTGCAGTCTCTATAATTACCTTACATGTTCTTTACATGACGGCTTAACGTATCGCTTGAGAGGATCAACTGGACAGTGGCAATCTGGAATTGATAAATGAAATATATATCCTTTTACTTCACTGATGCGTTTGCATTCACGACCCCCGTGTAAAACGATCCAATTTGCGGATATATAGTTAGGTTCAGGTCAGGAAGCTTTCACTGATAAGAAATAATTTTCTATTGAAGTACAGTATCAGCTCATCACGAATGAAGAGGGAAATTGGAGTGGAGAAATGAAACCGTCTGAAAATGATTGTATTGAGTACCTTCTCGATTATATGCAAAACATCGCAAACTTTCGGTGAATCAGAGGATTCAATAACATCGACCAGAAGCTGGACAGCTCGGATCCGCACAGAAATATCCCGATCTTTGACAATGTGGTCTAAATGTGGCAACACTGAATTCTCAAGTATTTCTTCCTGTAAAAAACAAGGAGTTATAAAACTAGAAAAAGATTCATAATATCGCTAATGTCTAGAAAAATGGACTAAAATTTATTCAAAGTACTAAAATTGTATACCTCATATAGTGGAGATAACGTTCCTAATATGTTACAAAGCACATTTAGAGCTTTAATTCGGTTGGCCGTCCTCTCTTCACATCTAAAAAAAAATTCCCATTAGGATAAGACTGAGGCTACATAGAAATACATCACGAACTTAAACAAAAATCAACATACCAAAATATTACATTTTTACAAACAAAATATAAAGAAAAAAGAAGACCACACACTTGAAGTATTTCTCCACCAAATCTTTAATATTTTCAAACCAGTTTTCGCAGTAAGGATGAAGAGACTGGGAACGATGAGAAACCAGGAGAATAACTGAGGATTACTGCAAACAACGACATTTTATTTAGCTGCAAACAACGACATTTTATTTAGCTAAGTGGATTCCGTTAGATCTTCATATATTTTATTATTTTTTCCTCAAAGAAAGTCATAAAATTGTTAGCTAGATTCTCATCAGATTGGCACACAGGATATTGAGAATCAGGGGTATAATGTAGTAACTTTCCAACGGTTTTAAATAATTTCTTTTGGTCACTCCCATTATCTCTAACAATTTCAGAATGATAACGAGTACGACTTTCCTATAATAGCTCACTGACACGGCGACATTGCTGACTGTATTTTAGACGATCACAGGATTGTCTTGACTTACGCCATACCCGCTCGAGTTTCCTTCTGATACGTTTTTC